GGGCAGCCGGATACCGTCCTGCTGCCCTCAGGTTCCCCCAAAGCTGCCAACACCCATGTCCCAAGCCACACTATTTCTCTACAGCCCCATTTCCAAGTGAAGAACATTCCAGAACAGTCTGTGGAACAATCACAATCACACCGCTTTGCCCTGTTACCTGGGACAGGAAAAGTGAGCATTTGTGAACATGTGTGTCTTTTAAGACTTTTCTAGCACCCTTGAGAGCTGCCCTCTTCTGGGTAGGTCCTAAGTCCCATTAAGCCCCCTTGTCACAGCAGGAAGAAACATTTGGCCCTAGTACCTTGGGCTTGGGAATAGCTCTGGCCTAATGCCCAGTGCCTCAAAGAGGAGATGATCTGAAAATGGCCATGAGTCCTCACCCGGAGCATTGAACGAGTGGGAGGAAGCAGCAAAAGAGGGCCCCTTCAGGGTGGGAGGCCCTACCCCCCTGCCATGGGCAGGTGCTGGGTGCCGGGTGGCACCACTGGCATCCAGCCCCATTTTTGGAAATTAGTGTTGGCACTTGTTTGGCCAAAGCCCAGCTTGTGAGGCAAGAGGCACAGCCCCGGCCTGTGTATGTAGAAGCCTCGAGAGGGCCTCAGTTTCCTTTGCTATAAAATTAGGGAGTCAGGCTTTCTACTCTCTTAAGTTTCTGATATTCTGAGCTGGAGCCCAGAGCAGTTTGCCTTGGTAACCCCTGGTCAGCACACTTAGGGCTGAGGTCTAGCACTGGTGCCTCTACTGAGGCGTGGCCCAAGTCTACTGTCTTCTCCCCCCCCACACTCCCACCCCCTGCCCTCCCCTCCTTCCCCCTCCCCTCCCCGTTGTGAAAGGAGCTGTCTCCAGACTGAAGCCAGGGAAGGCAACCTGTGCTGTGAGGACTCTGGGTCTGGCTGAGTTAAAGCTTAGATTTCCCTGGGGAGCACCCCCTGGCAGTCTGACTTCACGCTAATGGAAGGGCTCATCTGCCTCTTTTCCTGGGCAGGGCTATCAGTGGAGCGGGAGCAATCCAGCAGGGTGTGGCGGGTGGGGGGGTGATGACACAATGGAGTCACCGGGGTGTGAATGTCATTACTGAACACCCAACCAGGCCGTATTGATACAAAAGGTCTTTATTGAGGTCTGGGTAAGTTAAGCACTTGGCCAGAGCAGCAGCTTAAATACGAGGCAAGCAGGCAGGAGTTAGCCATGCCCAGGGCTAGGTACGGGTAGTGTGGCTGTAGGCACTGACTGTCCCCAGGTGGACAAGGAGTCGGGAGGGAAGGGAAGAGGAAGGGGTTGCAGAGCAGTCTGGGTCAGAGGCCTGGTGGGCTGGCCCCACGGAGCTGGGCAGGAAGCTCTGGGTGGAAGGTCCAACAGGAAGGGGACCGGGCTTTCTCGCCCTTCGTGCCCCTCGGGCCCAGGCCTGAGCCTTGGTGGGGCATCCCCACTGCAGGGGGCTTCCCAGGCCTCACTTCTTCACCTTGGCGTCATAGGTGCCGGCATTCTTGTAGGCGCTCACGTAGCCACTGTCGTCCAGGATGTCCTGCCGCCCCGCGATGCCCTTCCCCTTGCCGCTCTCGTCGAAGCGCTCCTTGTGGGAGCCCGTGTACTTGCTGGTGTCAGTCAGCCGGTCCACGGCACCCCCTGTTTTTGCTTTCTGTGTGGATGGAGTCCCCAGGGGGCACCTGGTGAGGTAGTGCGACCCTTCCCACCCCCAGGGAAGACTGCCCACAGTCCCCTCAGTGGTACCCATGACCGACGGGGCACTTACAGTGACGCCCACGTTGGCTGGTTCCTTGCCTGCCACCAGCTGGCAGATGGCATCAAAGGCCTCCTCCTTGCTCTTGCCCTTGAATCGCTTGGCCGCCAGCTCCTCCAGGGCCTTCTTGAATTCCTCATAGTTGATGACCCGAGCAGACTTCGCTCTGCCAGGTAGGTGGGCACCATGAGTGACCCCTTCTTCTGCCCTCCCTGTTCCCAGCCCCCCCGTTTCCCACCTTCTGGGAGCATGAGGAGCAGGGGCAGCCTGGGGCTCACTTGACTTTGGAGAAGACGATGTCGACATCCGTCCCTGTCACCGCCTTCCCGTCAGCCACCTTGCAGTCCTTGCACAACTTGGCCCAGTTCTTGCCATTCATCTCTTGCCCACTGGCCTTGGGGTCGCCATGGATGGCAAACTTGCGGAAGCTCTCCTCCAGCCCAGCTACGTCTGTGCTCGCTGCCATGCCACCCTGTAGGGACCCACCTTGGTCAACCCCAGCCAAGCACCCCGCCCCTCCCCAAGACACCCCTGCCGCGACCTTCTGCTACAGACCCTCAGGGTGGGAGCTAGAGCTGCCTGGGGAAAGGGGCTGGCACTCGGTGTCACCCTGGGCTCCAGAGCCCTGCAGACACGCCCTGAGAGAAGGTCCTGTTGCTTAATGCCAGCCCTAGCTCCAAGTTCCGAGGGTGAAATCATGATGCCCACACCAGGCAGGGAACAGAGTGGCACTGTCCAGAGACTGTGAGGGCAGCAGCTGCAGCCATGGCTTTGTCTGGCCCTGGCACAAGGCCTGCTTGGGTGGAAGTGAGAGTGGCAAGGCAGCCTTCCCCCTGGAAGCTCCACGCCAAGCTGGGTCAGAGCCAGGCCAAGCTGCAGGTTAGGCAGGTATTTAGTGAGGGCAATGTCTCTGTAAGGGTCATGAGGAGCCAACAACACCCAGCCCAGGCCTGAAATGAGAGCCAGAGCATGGACCGGGGTGCATGCCCTAGGCAGGGGTGCAGCTGGCCCAGCCGGGCCCTTGTTACTATTTGCTGTTAAACAAAAACATGAGGGGAGCGGGAGCTTGGGGCTGGCCTGGCCACAGTTTGCGAAGCCTGGAGACAGTTGCTAAGGGAGGGTGGTGCTGCTTGGAGAATGTTGCTAAGGGCAGGATGGTGTCAGGGTGGCTCAAGGAGCCGCTCACAGTGCTGCTGGGCTGGGCCGGGCTAAGCTGGGGAATGGGGGCCCACGGGTGGGGCACACCAGCACTCCCTGTGCCTGGGGCACAACCGTGGCTTCCTGGCCCCTTGCCACCAAGTGGGGCTGGAACCTCCCAGTCTGTGGAGCTGAGAAGGAGCAGGTGATTGGGGGCTAGCCTGGGTGTGGGTTGTAGAGTTAGCCCCAAGAAGCATGCTGGGACTGTGGCCTTGGCGCCGGGATCCTTCACTGAAGTACACTTCCCATGTCTACACCTCAGTGCTCCATCGAGGCCCCTTGGCCACACCCTGAGCCCAGCCACACCAGTCCACATTCCCACGGTCCTGGCCCTCCACACCCTATGCCCTGTACGCCCTCAGCCCTGCACTGCGGCCTTCTCTGTCCACACACCCGCAGCATGGGACTGAGGCCCCAACCATTACCTCAAAATCCACACCCCACAAATATACCACAGGCCTGCACAGAGACCCCAATAATACCTTCATGCCTACACTGCAGCCTCCTCTGACCACACACCCATTGCCTTGGGACGGAGGCCCCAACTATTCCCTCAGAATCCACTCCCCACAAATATGCTAACTGGCCTACACAAAGACCTCCGGATAATACCCTCATGCCTGCACTGAAGTGCCCCCCACCTCCACACCTTCCCTGCAGCCCGGGGACCACACCCTCAGCTCTGCACTGCAGGCCCCTCCATCCACACAGCCGGATGCAGGTATGGGACTAAGACACCCCCATCCACACACCTGTATTCCTTACTACGACCCCTGAGCTTAGCCTAAGTTTAGCCCCAACCCACATGCCCATAGTCCTTTATCAAGGCCCCCTGACCACACCCTCAGCACCCTCTGGTCACACACCACAGCCTTCTGACCACACTCTAGCCCTGCACTTAAGCCCCCACAGTGTCCACACGTGCACACACGCGCATACACACACACACACATACACTGGCCTTTCTAGACTCCCGGCTCTGTATGGAGACCCTCTGATCACACCCACCTCCTCCACTGCAGCCTCCTGACCACACCCTCAGTCTTAGCCATCTTGCATACTAGGGCCTGCAGCCCCTGGCCAAGCTCCCTGACTTCCGGATCATGGCCTTGACATGGAAAACCCCTCCCCATGACCACACTCACCCACCCCTAAGGTGCAGTTGCTGAGGCTAGGTTTTCGGTTTCAGGGACCACAACCCCAGTCTCCCTTCCCTCTCCCAAAGACCCAAAGAGCCACACTTGGTTTACCAAGGGTATTGTCCAGAGGAGCTTGGATGCCACAGGATGCTTGCCCCAAGGGACTGGGAGGATCTAGCGTCCAGTTTTCACTCCTGCCTGTGGGAAGATGGATTCTCAGAGCTATTCAGGTGGAAGGGGAAACAGGCCGCAGCCCCAGGGGTCTGCAGGCCATGGATGGAGTGGCCACGCCCGTGAACTGGGGCTACCCGCCCGCTCCCGCTGGGACAGCTGGAGTCATCAATCAGCCCGGCACGGAGGTGGGGGCTGGGGGTGGAACGCTCAGCTAATGTCCTTTTGGTGCCATCCGAGGTTGGTTTCCTTTCCAGGCCGCTCCCACCCCCCACCCCCGTCCTTATCGTGCAGAATACTGGTTAGGGTGGTCGGCGTCGGTTCTCCTACCGGCTTCTACCTCGTGGCTCTTGCAGTACACGTTAGGATGGACAGAACGACGCAGGAATGGACGGACTGACGGAGAGACTGGGCGGCTCCGCTGCTCCGCTCCCTGCCGGCTCCCGGGCGGGACTGCAACCCGGGCAGCTCCTCCGTATTATCTCCTGTTTCTCGGTCTCCATAGAGACGCCAAGTCCCACCCCCGAGGCGGTCTCGGAGGGAGAGTGACCAAGGTCACGCTGGCCCCGCCCACCAGACCCGCCCTCTCCGCACTCCCGGCTCCGCAGTGGCGGAGCTGCATCGCCGGCTTTGTCCCGCGCTTCCCCGCAGCTTCAGGATCTTCACTGCCGGGGGAGACCAACCTTCTGCAGTTCTGGACGTCCTCGATGCCCCCCCGCCAGGGAAAAACAGCCCCCAGTCCTGGACTGGGCCTAACGTCCAAAGCGAGCCTCCATCCTCCGGAGGAGATCCAGCCTCCCCCGGCGCCAACCAGAGGCAGCTTGAGAGCTAGTTGGAGAGCTGGAGGTCGGCTGGTTACGGTGAGGGGAGACGGAAAGGTCTCACCTCAGTGACAGGGGTCAGCAGCTGGCTCAGGACCTCAGCTCTCTCCCGAACGTGTGGCATCACGTGTGACCCTCCCTCGTTCTCTCGAGTAGGGTCGAGTCCGGAGCATTGAGGGAGAAGGGGGACAAGGACAGAATTGCGCCCGCCCAGCCCTAGAAGGCTGGTCACCCGACGGCCAGGAAGGAGCTCTTGCACCTCTGGCCCCTCCTGTCACTCCCACCTCCCTCGCCGCCCTCCGGGCCTCTCAGCCTCTGCTCCCAGACTCCCGAATGCAACGCTTACATTTAAGAAAAATAACCCGCAGGCAGCGTTTCCTAACCAGGAGCCCTGTCCCTGGGCGCCTCGGGTCGGCAAGTCCCTCCAAATGACAAATTGAGTGACCACCCACTGTCCAGGGAACCACCCCACTCTCTGTTCCCAGACGACTGGCAACGGTCTGGCTCCTGGAAGGCCAGTGGCCCTTGCCTTAAGAAAGTAAGCCCGGGGACCAGCAGTTAGTATAATGGCTACGTCGCTGGACTCCCACGTAGTCGACCCCGGTTCGAGTCCTGGACCCGGTGGCTTAAACTCACGCCGGGCGCGTGTGCGTGCGTGCCCAAGATCCTGAGAGGAGAATGGAGGAGAAGGGATTGCGGCATGGCCATGCCCCCTGGGGGGTGATTTCTCGCTTTCTGTCTCTGTCTCTCTCTGTCTCTTTCTGGCGAGTGCAGGCACGCTACAGCAAAAAACCTCTCCAAAAATAAGAAGAAAAAGAAAAAGAACATAAGCACGAAGTCCGCAAAAGCATAAAAAAAGTTTATTGGAGCATCAGGGCCGGTGGGGCAGGTATTGCTGAGTTGTGGGGGAGGGAGGCCGATCCCGCCGGCCACAGGTCCCCTAAAGTGCACTCGGTGCAGCGAGGGTGGGTGTTGCATAGAGAATCGGGCCGGTGCCTCCTCCTCGGCCCTCCGTCCTCGTCCTAGCTAAGCCAGGCCGGCCTCCAGGCCGCCCCGGACCCCGGGTTCGCCGCTGCTCGGACTCACGAAAACGGCGGGCGCACGCGCCTGCAGCGCCAGCCCAGGGTCTCGGCCTCTGCCCCCGGCGGCGGCCAGAGCGGCGCTGCCCAGGCGCGTCTGCGCCACTGGAGTCCCTTCCATCGACTCGGCTGACGCCGAGTGGTAGGCGCCTGTGGGGCCAGCGGTGTGCACCGGGCTGGCGCTCGCGGAGTCGGTGGACGAGGTGGAGCGGCGG